ATGGCACTGGATAAATATTTGCTGGATGAGCAGATGAAACTGTCAGTCAGTGGCTTGGTGGGCCACCTGAAGCAATGCCCGTGGTTGTTATAACTAGTATTTATATAGCGGGGTGAAATTTCACTGCTGAGGTCAGGGGCATTTGGTATAGCAGTTAATATGCTGTTTGGGATACTCAGGATGCCTGAGTTCCAACACTGGCACCAGCTCCCTATCCCTGTGTCCCGCGGATGTGTATCCAGGGAGGCAGCAGGTGATGGCTCAAGTACTGGGTCCCTGCACCCGCGTGGGAGACCCAGACTGAGGGCCTGGCTGCTGACTTCACCCTGGTCCCCTCCTGCCAGTCGTGGGCATTTGGAGACTGCACCAGTGGATGGGAGATCTCTTCCTGTTTGCCTGTCTTTGTCCCTCTGTCTCTGCCTCTCCAATAAATTTTTTAACTATAAATTCTCTGTGGACGTTAGTTCTGCTGGGCATCCCAGCTTGCAGGACTGTTTATCCTCTCATGAGCTACAATGACAGGCAAGGACGTGGGCAGATCTTGTGTCACAGCTGAGCGTGTTTGGACAAAGGCTCAAGATGGGCAGCACTGCCATCTTTCTAGAAAATTCCCTGTGCCCATTTCTTGTCGATTGCCCTATCCTATAGAAGCAGCCATTAGACAGCTAGTCCCACTGTCTAGACTTGCCTCCTCTTGAACTTCATACACGAGGAATTACACAGTATAACCTTTTATGTCTGTTTGCTTTTGCTCAGCAAAATATTGAAGAAAGGCACCACGTTGTTGTGCATATTAGTTCATCGTTTTATTGGTGAGCAGTGTTCCACTTTATGAATGTACCACAATTGGCTTACCCTTTTGTTAATAACATTTGCATTGTTTCTGATGTCTTGCTATTAAGAATAAAGTTGCAGTCACATTCTTGCACAGGTGTAAGTTTTTGCATATATGATTAAATTTCTTTGGGATAAATAACTAGGAGTGCAACTGATGCATCATAAGGTTTGTATTACTCATGATTTATATTAAAAATTGTCCAAATAGTTTTCCACAGTGGCTGTAATTTGACGTTGCTACCCGTGTATATGAGAATCAGTTTTGCCACGTTCTCATCAACACTTGGTATTGTCAGTCTTTTTGGTTTTAAGCTATTAAGTAGGCATTAAGTATCCCACTGTGGTTTTAATTTCAATGCCCCTTTTCTGTATGTGAGTCCTTTGTGATACAGATGTATTGTTAATGTTTCCTTCCAGTTTGTAATTTGGGTTTTTCATTTTCTTTTTTTTAAATATTTTATTTATTTGAAAATTACAGAGAGAGAGGGACGGGGGTGGAGGAAGACAGAGATCTTCCATCTACTGGTTTACTGCCCAAATGGCCACAAAGGCCAGGACTAGGCCAGACTGAAGCCATGAGCCAGGAGCTTTCTCTAGTTCTCTCACAAGTACTTGGCCCATTTTCCGAGGCTTTTCCAGGTGCATTAGCAGGGAGCTGGATCAGAAGTGGAGAAGCCAGGACTTGAACTAGTGCCTATATAGGGTGTCGGCATGGCAAGCGTTGGCAGCTTTACCCACTAAACCACAGCACCTGCCCCATGTTTTTCATATCTAACAACATCTTTACATGAGCAAAAGTTTTTAATTTTGATGGCATAGTTTATTTTTACTGTTTTACTCTTTTTATTGCTTAATGCTTTTTCTCTTCTATTTCAGAAATCTTTGGGCCTTTCAGGTAACAAAAATACCCTTTTATCCTTTTCTTTTAGAAACTTTACAATTTTAGCTTTTACATTTAGGCCTGTAATTTACTTCAAGAAGTTTTTTGTGTATAGTGTGAGTGATGAATCAAGGTACATTTTTTTTCCATGTTGGTATCCATTTGATCCTTTTCTTCCAAAATCATCATTATTCATCAAAAATAATCTGAGGGGTGGGCATTACGCCCAGCAGGTGAGATACTTCTTCATATATCTGTTGATCTCTTTTACTCAATACAGGACTGACTTTACAGTGATCAAGCAAACTGAAGGGAGAGCTTTGCAAAAATTAAAAGTGGGAATGGGAGAGGGGGGAGGAGGAAGGGTTGAAGCGAGGTGGAAGGGAGAGGAGGGGAGAAGCATCACTGTGTTCCCACATCTGTATAGCTGAAATACATGAGGCTTGTATACCTTAAACAAAAAGAGACTGAAAAAAAGACACGTCTTGGGACATCTGCTTCCCTTTCGATTGCCCAGTTTCACACGCTGCTAACACACACACTGGGAGGCAGCAGGTGATGATGATGGCTCAAATATTTAAATATCTGCATCCCTCCCACTCATGTGGGAGACCTGGATTGAGTGTCTGCATCTTGGCTTTGGTCTGGCAGAGCCCTGGCAAGTCAATCAGCTGATAAGAAGTTTCTCTCTCTCTCTCTCTCTCTCTCTCCCTCCCTCCCTCCCTTTCTCTCTCTCTCCCCTCCACATCCATCCATCTGAGAGCGCACGCGCAGACAGACTTTTGTGTCTCCTACCTTTAAATAAAGAAAGATAAATAAGAATTTTAAAGAATAATTCAAGTATACATTTTGGGAACTATTTTCATTGTTCACCACTGAAAACTGGCTTTGGGGTTTTCATCCTAGATACTCTTCTATCATATTAAGGAATTTACGTTCTTTATCATGAACGGATGTTGGATTTCGTCAAATGCTTTTTCTGCATTTATAGACAGATAACTGCAAATTTTTCTCCTTTATTCTGTTAAGATGATAATTACACTGAATTATTTTTGAATGTTAAACCATTCTTATATTCCTAAGATAAACTCCACTTATCCATGCTGTATTATCCTTTTAAAAATATATTGTTGGATTATGATTAGTAACATATTGAAAAACGTTGGATAGACTGGTGTTTGTTCTTTTTTAAGTATTTCAAAGAATTCACAGTGAAACTATCTAGGCCAAGAATTTTTCTTTTTTCTTTTTATAAATGGAACAGATTTTAGTCATACATTCAATTTCCTAGCAAATATAGAACTATTCAGATTGTCAAACTCATCTTTTGTCATTTTGGAAAAATTGTGTTTCTTCAACGAATTTACCCAATTTATCTACACTGTTGAATTTGTTGTCTAATTTTTTACATAATCTTTTGTGTTGTTTTAACGCCTATAGGATCAGTAATGTCTGGTGATATTCGCTCTTGCATTTTTAATATTGGTTATTTGCATTTTCCCTCTTTTGTGTGAACATTATCATAGGAACTGTGAATTTTATTAATCTTTTGAAAGAATTAGCTTTTGGCTTTGTTGATTTTCTATGGCTTGTATGCTACTGTGTTGGTTTTCATTTTATAGTCACTATTTCTTCTTTCTACTTCATCTGGGTTTACTTGTTCTTTTTCTAGCCTCTTGATGTAGAAGCTAGACTTTGCAATTTCCTTTTCTTATTAAAGCCATGGACTTCTCTTAGCATGCCTTACGTTTTATTCCTCAGATTTTTATGTTTTCATCATTCTGATCAAAATACCTTGGAATGTCTTTCCTATTTCTTCTATGGCCATGGCGTATTTAGAAATGTGTAGCAATTTGCAAACATTTGGTGATTTTTCTAGATCTGTTTCTTTATAGTTACTATTTTTCTAATGCTGTGTGGTCAAATAATGCATTATGCATCACTTCCGTCTATTTTTTTTTTTGACAGGCAGAGTGGACATTGGTTCACCCTCCAATGGCCACTGCGGTCAGCGCACTGCGCTGATCCGATGGCAGGAGCCAGGTGCTTATCCTGGTCTCCCATGGGGTGCAGGGCCCAAGCATTTGGGCCTTCCTCCACTGCCCTCCCTGGCCACAGCAGAGAGCTGGCCTGGAAGAGGGGCAACTGGGACAGAATCCGGTGCCCCGACAGGGACTAGAACCCGGTGTGCCGGTGCCGCTAGGTGGAGGATTAGCCTATTGAGCCGCGGCAACCGCCAGTTTGGTGCATTTTTTACATGCACTTGAGGGACCGTGTATCTTGTAGCTCCTGGAAGCATCACACAACATTTCCCGAACTTCCTCCTCACGGCTCCCTTCTAGGAATCTGTCACCGTCCCCTGAAGTCAATGCTTCCGTGAACACAGTGCATCTTCCTGGTCCTAGGTAATTATGCTATGTCTCCCACACAACATCCTGTCTCTCTCTCTCTCCCCTCCACAGACTTCCACTTCAGTGGCAAAGTGAAGATAAATCTCAAGAAACTAAAATTTACAGTTCAGGCATTGCTTGTCAAAGAAGGCAAAATGACAGTACTAGGCTTGCTTTTTGGTCCCTTTTCTTCCACTCTTCTATGAGACCGTCACGACTAAACAGCTGAATTATAGGAGAGGCAGTACCACTGGTCCAGACACAAACACTACAGTGAGGAGGTCTATAACGAGAGGTCTCCCTTCTCCGACTCAGCACAAGGCTTGCATGCTACACGACTTTTTGGGTTTTTGTTTTTGTTTTTTTGCACACTGATTTTTCACATTTTGCATACCTACTAGAAAAATACTTTACAAGAATTACAAACCCCGCTCTCACCTATGACTTACAGAAGTGATACACGTAAGCTTTGAAAATTCGTTTACGTAAAGTAAAAGACTAAGTAAATGACAACAAAGGCACTTCACTCATTTGGCGACAGTGATTGTGGTACTCAGTTATGCAGTCTAGGCAAACTGGTATGCTGTCAGCATTTGCTACTGTGATGGTGTGAACCATCCTGTCTTTAAATTATTCTAAATCCTTTAAGGATACTTTCTACTGGAGTCTGACAACCCACGGGAATATCAACGCACAACTATCCCCGTTTACCCAGGGAAAGCATTCCAACCCGCATCTCACAGTACTTAGTCTGCCTTGTTCCAGGCAGGACTCTTGGCTGTGAGATGCAGTCTGCAGCAGCTCCACAGAAGTGCTTTGTGAAGGCAGTGGTTTGGAGCCCTCTGTTGCCCACGCTGTCTTCCCGCCCTGCATTCTGCGTGAAGGATGCTCACCTTCTCCCATTCTCGGTCCTTGTTCAGCACAATCACCACCAGCCTGGGGTGCACCTGATAGCCCTCCTCAGTGAAGGACAGGTCTTTGCCATCCCACGTCACGTTGACCATGAATCTAGAGAGCGGAAGAGAGAAAGGCACACTTTTAGGGGAGAATTAACGAGGTGTCAGACAAATGGAAAGATGCCACCATCAATGAAAAAGTCGGAAAGCACACTGCTGCTCCCATCCCAAGTACCCAGGCGCTGAGGAAGCACTGGTACCCGTGCAGGCAGAGTAACTTGTCCATCACTCTTCTCCATGAATCTGAATTCACGCTCAGGAATCACCAAGCATGAGTCACTGATTGTAATTAGCACATGGAGTGCAACCGTTCTGTCCTTGTCAGATCCAGAGGCCCGTGTTCAAGTGATCTTTGGCAGATCTGTAACCATTCCGGTGATCTGCATTAACAAGCTCCCTTGAAGGAAGCTACTTGCTCATGAACCACGTGGTATTCAACATCGATGAGTGGATAGCCTATCTATTCATGTGAATTCAACTAACAGTTATCAAGCGGTTACTACAGTTCATGAATCGGCTAGTTGTCCAGGGATAAATAAATAAGTAGACATGATCCTTGCCCTCATGAAGCTTATAGTCTAAAGGACAAGAAAGGGCAGATATTAATTAACCACAGACCTATGGAAACTGTTATAATAGAGAGGAGAGTGGCTGTGTGAAGGAGAAACAGTGGTCAGGCAAAGCTGAGGAAGTACAGTTGACCTGGGGGACGCGTCCACACTAACCAGGTAAAGGAGATGGAAGCAAGCAAGGGCACTGCCTGTGCAAAGGCCCTGTGGCGGTGCATGTGTGGAACTGAAGGCAGAGCAGCAAAGCTGAAGCAGAGAGAGGCAAGCAGATATGACATTAGGTGAGAAGATTAACAGGGACAGAGTGCAGAGTTTTGTAAGCCATGCTAAATTTTACCTTTGTCTTAAAACAGTGGGAAGACACTAGATGGTTTAATCAAGTAGGCAGCAAAATCAGCTATCTCTTTTATAAGAGCTTATAATCTCATTTGATGTCTGTGTAGAAAATGGATTGGAAAGAGACTAGAGTGGATACAAGGGAACTATTTACTGTGTTCTTGTCATCAAAGTGAAAAATACGGGTGGCTTTAACTGTAATTGTAGCAGAGAGAAAGAGAGAGAGAAGAAAAAGGAGGAAGAGGAGAAGGCAGTGGTAGACAGGACCAAAAGAGGAGAGGCATGGCAGGTGTTTAGAGAGATCAGATGTGAGGATGATACAGGGAGAGATACCAGGGATGACTCCTGATACTGCCTTGGAGAGCATCCACGTGGCCAACTTTCCACTTTTGTGTTTTCATAACAGGTAATGTCTGCCTACAGCACTCCTATCTCTGCCACTCCTCACAGCCACCCTGCCTGTGGTCAGGCTGGACTCAGGCACCAAGAAAAGGCCATCATGGCCACTTAGGAAACACTCAGTAAAGCACAGTCGGGTTGCTTGCAGCATTCAAAGACGTCCGCAGAAAGACAGAGCAACAAAGCCGCAGCATCTCCAAGCTTTATATTCCTTTAATGTCAGGCACAGCTGAATAAGTTTTAAAAAAAGTAGTTAAGGAAGATCAAGCTACAAGAAATTTCAGAAAGAGGCCACACATCCATCCGTGGTCCTCCACAGTAGAGTCTGACCATGCTGTTCAGGGGAGAGTCAGGTCTCTAAGGACAAAAAGGGAAAAGCAAAGAACAAATGTTGTGTAAGTGTTCAATGGGCTATCGGGACATTAAAAAATCATGTGTTTGAAGACGAGTTAATAGCATGGAGAAAATGCTCAGTACTTAATGTTCAACAAGCAGAAAAGAGGATAAAAGCAGAGCGTGTGTATGCATGGAAGGATTACAGGTATTTTTCATTTTCTTCTGTGTATCTTTTATTCTCAAAATTCCCTGAAATCAAATATTTAACAAACAGAAAAAAATAGAACACTGCTCTTATAGGAGTAAGGAGAAATCACTATTCCATTTGATACATTTGAAGCCCCTCTGATCCTTTCCTACAAAGATACTTTCTTGATTCAAGAACTATTTACTGTGTGTCTGTTATGTGTCAGGCCTCACCGTGAGTCCCATGGATACTTAAATAAAAATTGCAGTGCTACAGAAAGACAAATACTGCGTCCTGTTCTCTCTCATGTGGCAATCACAGTCAATGTAGAAGACAGAGCTTACTAGAGGGGAGGGAGAGAGGAGACAGAAAGAGGTTGGAAAACAGGTACAAAATGCAAGCGGAGGAGCAGTAAGCTCTCCTGAGTCCAGTTTCCAATGGACTATTACATCTTGGAGAACTAGAACAGAGGTGCTCAAAGGCTCCAAGCATAAAGGAAGGATAAAAAGATGGAAATGCCAATCATCTTACTCAATCACTACACATGTTCACATGTATTGAATTATCACACTGAGCATAACTATGTACAGTTATGTTAGTTAAACATGAATAAAATACTGTGCTTGTCTGCCCTTTTACCCACATTCTTTTTTTTTAAAGATTTATTCAGAGAGAGAGAGAGAGAGATCAATCTTCCATCCCCTGGTTCATTCCCCAGATGGCTGCAACGGCCACAGCTGGGCCAGACCAAAGCCCAATAGAAGCAGAAGTGAAAAAGCTTCTCTGCTTTGTTAATGGTTAGTCCTTATCTTCTATGCAACTGAGGCTGGGGATTTTCTATTCCTTCTTCCCTTTTAAGCATCTGGGCTGGTGTTTCAGGAGCCCATTAGACAGCAGGAATCAAGCCTGTTCTACTTCTGGTCCAGACAGGCACACCCAAGCCATGTTCCACTTCAGTCCCCTTACCGAGGCTCTTGACGATGCCTGCTTGGAATGGGAGTTCAGAGAAGAACCGCACTTTGGTTAAATTCCTTATTATCATCAAGATTTCAAAGTGATTATTTTGAGTCTAAATTAGAATATTTTTATTTTTTTCAAGCTGATATTTTGTTTTTGTTCTCCACGGTTATTTTTAGCTCTATCACTTTGTCTGGAATAGGGCTCAGTTAATATCTGGTAGCTGAGATATTATCACTAGAAGTGCCATCCATCCGTCAATAATACATTTGCTCATCTATTTATCCACCAGTACAGCCATGCATCCATTAATACCTTTATCCATGCACCCATTCACCCATCAATCCTTCCTTCCCACTTTCTTCATTCCTTGAATCTATCCACCCATCAGTGCTTCTCTCCCTCCTTCCCCCTTTCCCTTCTTCCATCCATCCATCCATCCATCCATCCTCCTTTCCATATAATAGACATATTTGAGTGCCTACTACGTATCACACAATGTGTCAGAAACTTTCTTAGGAAAATAAAAGAAATATAAACAAACCCACTTTGGTTTTCAAGATTGGAGAGAGACATCAACAAAGAATAGTTACTGTAAAAAGAGAAACATGTACTAAGTTGGTAAAGAGAATAGGGCCAATTCTATTGGGAATCTAAGGCTAGAATCAGGAAAAGAAGTGCAAGATTTTTGGGTTGTATCAGAAAGAAACAGTAAGGGTTAGGCAGAGGGATGGCAGAGGAAAGGGAGAAGACACATTGCATGAAGGAAAATGCAGAGTTAAAGGCAGACAACCACAAAACATCACGATGCATTAAGTAAGTTACAATCAGTTTATAATGGTATGGATATTCATTGTATGTGGGGAAGTAACTTGGGGGAATGAAGCTAAGACAGAGCAGAAACTACACAGCTAACTACTCTATCGCCTATCCTAAAGGGTTCACCCTTCACCCTGACTGTATGTGAAATGGAGGTTTGAAGATAAACAGATGAGACTTTGTAGTAATCAAGGCAAGAAACAGTTCAAAGAAAACAGCAGTTGGAGGAAAGAGACAGACAGGAAAGCATCATCAACGGAACACGTGGCTGCTGAAACTTCAATATAAAAACTGCAGGCAGAGCCCACCAGTGGCATTTACCTGAGCTGATAGGAAACTGTATCTGGGCTGGCGCCGCGGCTCACTAGGCTAATCCTCCGCCTGCGGCGCTGGCACATCGGGTTCTAGTCCCGGTCGCTCCTCTTCCAGGCCAGCTCTCTGCTGGGGCCCGAGAGTGCAATGGAAGATGGTCCAGGTCCTTGGGCTCTGCACCCACATGGGAGACCAGGAGAGGCACCTGGCTCCTGGCTTCAGATCAGCGTGGTACACCAGCTGCAGCGCACCAGCCGTGGCAGCCATTGGAGGGTGAACCAACGGCAAAAGGAAGACCTTTCTCTCTGTCTCTCTCACTGTCTACTCTGCCTGTCAAAAGAAAAGAAAGAAAGAAAACTGTATCTGCTGCCCCAAACTCAGTTAGGTCAGCCAATTCACTTGGGTATTTCTTACAGAATTCAGTGAGCTCTCAAGCCAGGATTTAATTATCCAGCATGTTGCGGGTGAACAGAATGCAGCCTGAACCTACCTAATGCCACTAATGTGCGTGAAAACTGAAAAATTTTAGTAAATTATCGAGAGGTTTAGCAATAGGCAGCGTGTGTTTAGAAAAGGCCCACCAGAGAACAAGTGTTTTGATTTTGACTTAGAGCCGTGGCCCTGTGGAAAGCCACTCCCAGGTTATGTTCCAGGGACTGAATATCAGTCATTCTTTCCACAAGGAAGCTATCACACATTGTTGAGAATCTATCTTTGGATTTGTCTGTTGAATCTACTTAAACCTCCTCCTTTAAATTCCCAACTGTGTTTCCTCCATCCATGCCTTTTCTTCAATTCTACAGTGAAATCAGATGGAATGAGCAGGTTGTTTATGTAGAAGCAATCACTCTTGTTCAGAGTCTCTGGACACAATTCCATGGAAGTCCATCATACTCCAGGTTTTCCTGTGTCCCTTTAAGATTCAACATTCCAAAAAATAAAAATAAAAAAGATTCAATATGCTGGAGCCACAGATCCATAAACTCAATGTTAATATTGTCTTTCGCTTTAAGAGTCTTCAGGGCTTGGAGAAGGAAAAAACCCCCAACAGAAATTTCCAGTAAACAATCATCTCATTACGAAACTGGCAGGGAGCAAGCAGGCATTGCCTTCAACTCCCCCAACCAAGTTTTAGAA